AATATCTCATAAGTCAGTCTTTGACAGGGTGTCAATCACTGGTCTTGGTATACATATATGCATTTCAGTCATTGACACTCATTTTTTCACAGTTTCCTTTTGTTAGGCTATGTTTTTACTCCTTATTTTGAATTTTTAGTCTATTTTATAGATCTGATTTCACTACCAATACCAGATATTTAAGAATTAAACTTTTTAAATTAAGGTTGAACAACTTACTCACCTTAAGAATCTATATATATCACTGCCACATATATCACTGTGCACACTTTGAAAACTTTAACACGTGTGTTGTTAACGCCGGGTCCGATAATTATGGCGGCCGATGCGGTGTTGCCAAACTGATAAAGGAAGAAGTTTATGAAGGAATTTAACACAAAACAAGGCACATTTCCTTAAAAACCAAGATTTTGTAGGAAGTGTCAATAACTAGCTGGATGTCAATAACTAGCATTTTACCTTATATTTTTTTTTCTATAAGCACCTAGATGTGAAACATCTGTATGTGCAGCATCGCTAAGCAGTGTTTTTATTTGTATTTGTAGTTTTTATAATTTAAGTGTACATTAAGAATTAAGAGCAAGAGAGAGAAAAAAAAGAAAAATAACAAAGTAACAGTTCACATATTGGTTGGTTTTACAATTTATCAGTCCCACACAAACATGCAGACAACAAAGTCTGCCCTACAAACACCACGGAACACTTAGCTAAAAAACCTTTCAAATTGATGAAGACTCTCATAAATAACATTTTTACTTAAAATTTTAAAACTTCTTATTGAAGAGCAATTTCTTACTTCCTGTGGCAATAGGTTGTACAGTTTAGGGCCAAAATAATTTATGTATCTTAGATTAAGATTATTAGTACTTATTGGTAGTTTAATTTGCCTGTCGCACCTCGATCTTGTTTCATAAGTATGATCAGCTAACATTTTCATGTTAGGTCGAGTGTGTATATAGGAGCAAACTTTGAGAATATATATTGATCGAATGTTAAAAATGTCTCTGTCAAAAAGCAAATGTGTAGGATACAATCTATTTTTTTTGAGAATAATTTTTATTATATATTTTTGTATTATGTTCAATTTGTACAGGCTGTTATTATAAAGTCCACCCCACACCAATATTCCATATCCTATTATTGATTCTACAAATGCTTTATAAACTATTATAAGCGTTCTTTTATTTAAAAATTCTCTCAATAAATAAAACTTATGAATGAGTTTGCGAATTCTAATGGAAACATAATCAATATGTGGTTGCCATTTAAGAAATTTATCAATAACAATTCCGAGGTATTTCATTGATGGAGTTTCTTTAATACAATGGTTATCTACGACGATGGAATCATATTGTGGTCTGTTTGCACCAGAAAGTGAAAATGCTACGTAGTTCGTTTTTGCTAAGTTTAATGTTAGCTTATAAAATTGAAGCCAGTTCTTAATTTTCGCCAAACTATTCACAGTCTTATTCCTTACACTATCCCAGGTATCTCCTGAGACAACCAGAGCCGTATCATCGGCATAAGATACAGTTACGCCCTCGACCTGCAACCTCAATAATGAGTTGATGTATGCTATGAAAAGTACTGGTCCCAAGACTGTTCCTTGTGGAATGCCAATTTTTCAATCAATCAATCAATCAATCAATATTGCTTTATTGTAGGAAGACATAGTCTCATTTACAAAGCTGTGGAAAATAAACTACATAATCATAATATCCATAAGATCCAACTTCCTAATAGATTACATATCTTGATAACTAGTAATAAAATTCTAATCACTAAACAATGAAGATAAAAACAAAAATAAAAATTAAAAACAAAAACAAAAACCAAAATAAAAACAAAAACAAAAATAAAAATAAAAATACTTAAAAATAAAAATAAAAATAAAAATAAAAATAAAAATAAAAATAAAAATAAAAATAAAAATAAAAATAAAAATAAAAATAAAAATAAAAATAAAAATAAAAATAAAAATAAAAATAAAAATAAAAATAAAATTAAAATTAAAATTAAAATCAAAATCAAAATCAAAATCAAAATTAAAATCAAAATCAAAATCAAAATCAAAACCAAAATTAAAATCAAAATTAAAATTAAAATCAAAATTAAAATTAAAATCAAAATTAAAATCAAAATTAAAATAAAATCAAAATTAAAATTAAAATTAAAATTAAAATCAAAATCAAAATCAAAATTAAAATCAAAATTAAAATTAAAATTAAAATCAAAATCAAAATTAAAATCAAAATTAAAATTAAAATTAAAATAAAAAAAAAAATAAAAAAATAAAAATATCAATATCTACCTATAAATGAATGAATATCTAGGGTGGCATTAGCTAGCTAGTCATTTAAACCTAATTGAAATTATGGGAAAGGAACTCATCAAAACTGTAAAACCCCTCCGCAGCCAAGAGTCTTTTCACCGTATTTCTAAACACCCTGTAATCTACAATTCGTCGAATCTGGACAGGCAACTTATTGAACAGCCTTTTACTATTATAAAGAATCGAGTTCATGGTTAAAGTTGAAGAGGGAATGGGCAGATCAATGGTAAACGAGCTTCGAGTATTTACAGCGGATACAGAGTGTACCAGATTCAGGTACTTCCTATGCATTAAGCACACAGACTCCAATATGAAAATGCTATAAGCCGTCAGTATTTTTTCAGCTTTAAATGTAGGCTTGCACGAGTCTCGGAGTCGCAAACCGAAAACACATCTAATAGCGCGCTTCTGTAACACAAATACTGACTGGAAGAGGTTATGAGAGCAAGATCCCCAAAAACAAATGCCATATCTTAGATGGGACTCTATAAGAGAAAAATAAACATTCTTTGCGATATCGGTATTTAATTCATTTTTTACAGCCCTGATAGCGAAGCAGCCGGAAGACATTCTAGAGCACAAATTGGAGATATGAGTCCCAAACTTCAGCCTACTGTCAATGTACAAGCCCAAAAATCGGTTTTCGCTCAAGTTGTTGATAGGCTGACCGTCAATTGAAATGGAATTATTGAAATTACCCTTAAAGTGAATTATGTTCGTTTTGGAAACATTAAATGAAAGCAAATTAGCATCACACCATTTTTTGATATTTGATAGGTCAGTGTTCACCATGTCATTGAGCAGAGCAGCACTACCATGATGCCATAGGATAGTAGTGTCGTCTGCAAAGGAAGTACATTGGCCATTAACAATCACAGAAGAGAGGTCGTTGACATAAAGAAGAAACAGAAGGGGTCCCAGAACAGACCCCTGAGGAACCCCTGCTTCGACCCGGAGCTCAGTGGAAGTGTAGTTGTTGAAAGATACGCTCTGGACGCGATCAGATAGGTATGACTTGAACCAGTTCAAAATTGACCCTCTGAAACCATAAATCTCAAGCTTGCCCAGCAGAATCCCATGATTGACACAGTCAAAGGCCTTTGCCAGGTCACAGAACACTGCCGACGCGAACTCTCGATCATCTCGATTATTTTTTGTTTATTACTCAAGGTGTTATTTAACTTGACCATTTGAAGTCGCTCTGACAAATAGCTTCTAAACAACTGTGAAGCTACTCCTCTTATTCCATATCTTTCAAGCACATTGATAAGCTCATCATGAGGCACAGTATCGAACGCCTTGGCAAGGAAATACAGTTAAACATTTTTTTTTTGAGTTTAAAATACAGTTAAACATTTTTTTTTTGAGTTTAGATTATCCACGACTTCAGTTAGCAATTTGTGCATGGCGTCCTCGGTACTACACCCATTCAGAAATCCGAATTGGTTTGTCGACAGCACGTTATTGTTTTTAAAAAAGCTAATTATTCTGGTTTTTATACATTTCTCAAAAAGTTTTGCCAAATTACTAATAAGGCTGATAGGTCGGTAATTATTTATGGAGGTCTTAGTTCCTGTTTTGTGAATTGGCGTAACTATTGAAATTTTAAATTCAGAGGGTATATTTCCTGTTTCTAAGATTAAATTTAATATATGTAATAGGGGGTTGATAATTTCTAAATGTGTGTGCTTTATAATATCGGCCCGTATCCCATCGTAGCCTGGTGAACTATTATTTTTTAAGGTTGAGATATAATTGATTAATTCATTTTTTGTTATGGGATTAAAGTAAATAGAATTTGGCACTGAGGGATCTACTTGTTGCTCAAATTGTGGTGGTGGAATGGCTTTTTCCATTTCTACCCCAATATTAATATAATAGTCATTACAAAAGTTTGAAGCTTCGAGTGAACTAGAGAAATTTTGGCCCTCCTTATTTTTTATATTTAGAAAAGTATTGTGGTTTTTCTTATCTTCGTAAGTAGCATCTTTAATTATCTTGTAAAGTTTTTTCATGTCATTCTTATTACTTTCAATTTGCCTTTTATAATAATTATTCTTTTGTTTATGTATAAGTTTGTTTAAATTGTTTCTGTATTCCTTGTATTCTTTTTCCAATTGGGGATTAAATTTTTTTAACAATTTTTTCTTCATTTTATCTCTAGTTTTAATTGATGATAATGAATACTATAACGGTTTCACGGTCACAATAATAGATCTATAAATATAGGTCCTACTACATACTTAATCCAAATTAGATACGATACAATCTGTGACGGTACCTTACTCGGTACCTTATTCCAAAAACAACATATCACTAATGTGTGCTTCGCTTGATACAAATTGTGCCTACAAAAATAAACTTAAGAACTTTCCTTGCTACTTACTGACCACCTAATTAGTTTTCAACGGCTGTGGGGTTGAGCTATTGAAGAATTATTATAAATACATACTCACAAAAATATTGCATGGAAGGCATTAGGATAAAGCATGTACCTAAGTACCTACTACAAATAGTAAATAAACCTTGAAATCAGCTTTGTTACTGGAGATATTCAAATTAAAGCCCATCTGATCTCAGCTGTTAACAATTTGAATAACAAAATGTTTAAATGATTATATTGAGGATCTGTGTAAATATTTATGCTACCTTGAAACTAAACACCCACCTTGTACAATAACTATTATTAACATAAAGGCAGCTATCAGCCTCATGCCAATAAAACACTTCAAATCCATTTCTGGATGCTTTGCAGGAGCCGAAATTTACACTTTATAGGTAATATCCAGTGTTTATCTTAGAATTTACATTTACACATGATGTTTTGTCCCAGGTCAAGAAACCAAACACAAACAGTTCATGGTGCTAACACGTAAAGAAGTGTATTTCGAGATTGCACGCCAGTGTGATTATAAAAACTTGAGAGAATTCACTTCAATGCACTATTTTACTTAAACTATTTGTTGTAAGGGAATTTATGATTTTGGCAAAAGTTTTAGAAAATAAGATTTTTCTCATTTTGGGGAAGACGAAGAACATTTGCGTATTTCCTCTCGATTGACATTGACAGATGCGATGACTGACGATGACACTGATGACAGACGTATAGGATTTATGCTTGTATAAGGATTTATGGGAATGATCAACCGAACACGGTTTCGGTTGTTGGTTTCGGTTATTTTTTTTAGGCAGTGGATAGAGGTCCGAAAATTCGGATCTCTAGAGTAGTGTTCATACTAAAGATCCGATAATTTTCGGATTTTCAATTTGTATAGTAGGGGTCCGAAAATGCGGATCTTTAGTGGTAATTGAAGAACCGAAAATAGATGTTTATTTCTAATTATGTCTAATTAAGGAATATTATCGTTGCAAGTATCTACAAAGAATAATATTCGAGATAAGTCTGTTTCAGCAGAAATCACAAACCAGTCAGAGTGAATTTCATTGGTTGAAACTAATTTTCTGACTGTTTTTGACTATGTTTAACCAATAAAATTTGCTCTGACTGGTTTGTGATTTCTACAGAAACAGACTTATCTGGAATATTATTCTTTGTTAATATTTGCAACGCCATTTTAATGGAACTAGCCCAAGAACCAAATATTACTGCACAAAATCAATTAGAAGAAAAAATAAAAAGTATTAAATTTCCTTTAAAACTTGCCCATAAAGGAAGACCCAAGGGACATCAGGGATATTATTCAAAAATGAAGTTCCTAAACTCAGGCACCAGAATGCTTAATGTAATTTTAAATACAGAAGATTTGGAAAGAAAACATTCCTCATCATCAACAAATTGATCCACTTCTTCTTGAAGAAGAAATATCTTTAGCAGAAATAGAAGCATATCGAGGGCTGAAACGCAGGACCTCGTAACTAACATTTTCGACGAAATCGGGTTTTTGATGTAGTTGTCTTCTTTTATGTGAGCGCCATCTATTTTCGAAAGGACAAAATTCTACAAAAATTATTTATTTGTGAAAATAAACGAAAACAGTAACTCGTAACTTATTGCGCTGGGTTTCCCGAAGCATAACCTCGTAAATACAACACTGTTCAGGTTGGCGCCATTTAGGTATTGTCAAGGTAAGTGCTTTTGAGAATTCTTAGTATCAAAATATTATGAAAACTAATGTGTAGGGTTGAATTTTGCTATTAATTGTTTAATTAGACAATAATCTTTATTCTGGCATAATAATTTTCCGGATATGGAAATCATTTTAGGTGAAATTTCACATTTAATTACAGGTGTTAGATACGAGGTCCTGCTCCATAATATTTTCGTCAAGGAAGACCTCGTAACTACAACAATGTTAAGTTTGGGCCATTTAAGACTGGTCAAGGTGAGTGGTTTTGTGAATAGTATGTGAATAATGTGAAATAACTAATGTGTAGGGTTAAATTTTGCTGATAATTATCAAGGTAAACAATAATCTTAATAGTCCCATAGTGAATTTCCTGGATTGTTGATGATTTTACGTGAAATTTTCCATTTTTAATTGCAGATGTTAGTTACGAGGTCATGTTCCACATTGCTCTAGAGAAGATACGAGGTACTGCTGCCTAAAAATGTCTAGTCGCACGAAAAAAATTTTGGAATTGGCCAAACTACCACATTCTAGCGAAAATAATACTGAAGAAAATGATTATTCTCTTCAAGAAATCAGTGAAATTGAACTATCAGGAAATATTCTTTTAAATAAAGCCTTAGCTCCAGAAGATATTTCTAATATCATCAGAGAAGTCGAGAATGTCTTTGATAACGATAATGCCAGCAATAATCCTGATAATAGTATTAATAGTGCTGAAAATCACAATCACAATGAACAATACCATCCCGGAATCGGAAATAATGAAACCATACACGACGTTAACGAAATTGGAACACGACAACTAGATGAAGCCTTAAGTTCAGAAGATATAATTACTATTATCAATGAAGCCGAGATTATCTTTGATATTAACGAAAATCCAAGCGATTGTCATAATAACAGTGCTGTTTTGTCAGACATAACAAACGTGGTTAGTTGGCAAAAAGAAAATCAAACTCACGATAAACAATCTCATCTCGTAAGTAATGATATCAAACAAAAGGTAAATGAAATTGAGACACGACAACATGGGGATGACATTAATATTGCGAATATTATCACAAAATCTGGAGAAGAAAATATAGAAAAACCCGTTGTTCTAGATTTAGCATGCAAAGCTCATAGACCAGAACAAACTGACGTTTATGACAATGATGACTACAGCCCAGAAAGTGAAACAGACAGCGAAGAAAGTATGGAAATCGATGAAGATGAAATACAGCTACAGGTCAATGTTATTGAAGATGAAACTGAGAATGAAAATGGAACAGTGAAGAGAAATGAAAAAAGAACAAATAAGATGAGGTTTATCAATAAGCAATTAAGAATGGCGGGAAAGCGGTATTTAGGGTTTAGAAAGCCACGGAATCAAAGCAATACGTTCCATGATACAACAAGAACAGAGAGAAAATTAGGTGCCAGGTGCAGCTGTAAACAAAAAGCCAAAGATCCGACAAGAAAATGTTTCAAGGTGACGGAAGGAATGCGCCAAGCTATTTTTCAAAACTTTTGGTCTAACATGACGTGGGATCAACGAAAAGTGTACGTCAGTAATACTGCTAAAGTGACTGAAAAGGCTAGACCAAAAGAAGCAGAAAGCTCTCGACGAAATATAACCATCAAATATTTTTTGATTTGTGGAAATGAAGAAGTACCCGTGTGTAAAATCATGTACTCACACACTCTTTCTTTGGGAGAATGGACTATCAGATCATGGACAACCCAAAGCAATAATAGGATGAATAAGAGTACTCAGATAGAATTAAGTCAACATAATCCAAGAAATTATTTGTTTAAAGAAGATCGAGATTTCCTCATAGAATTTCTCACTAGTTTAAACAAACTTCCCTCGCATTATTGCAGGAAGGATACTGATAAGCTTTATTTAGAACAAAATTTTCAATCTTTTGCTCAACTTCACAGGGTCTACGAAATTAAGTGCCAGGAGAATGAAAAAAAACCTTTATCTGCTAAGACATTAACAAAAATGGCTGAAGAAATGAATTTAGCGCTATTTCGTCCAAGGAAAGACCAATGCGATATCTGTTTCAAATACAAAAATGGCAATTTATCTGAAATGGACTACAGTGAACATATTAACATGAAAAATAGCGCCCGAAAGGAGAAAGAAGAAGATAAAAAAAAGGCCTTAGAAGGACAGTGCAATGTTATTGTAATGGATGTTCAGTCTGTCAAGTTAGCACCACAGCTAAAAGCTAGCGCTCTTTATTACAGAACAAAATTGTGCTGCCATAATTACACAATCTATAACCTTAAAGATAGACGAGCTACTTGTTACTGGTACGACGAGACTAACGCGGACGGTCAAGCATCTACCTACGCATCATTTCTTGTAGACTACCTGGAAGAGAATTTTCTGAACCCAAGTAATCCAATGATTCCTATCGTCATTTACTCCGATGGGTGTACTGCTCAGAATCGCAATTGTGTAATATCTAACGCTTTACTTCACGTGTCAGAAAAATACAAAGTGTGTATAACCCAAAAGTATCTAGAAAAGGGTCACACTCAAATGGAGTGTGACTCTGTTCACAGTGCTATAGAGACCTCACTCAAAAATAAAGAGATTTACTTGCCCTGTGATTACCTACGGGTTACTAAAGAATCTCGTCAGAAGAATCCTTACATAGCCAAAAGCATGGACTATTCGTTTTTCAAAAATTACGCTCATAAGGATTACTTGAAGTATAGTTCAATTCGGCCTAGCAGAACGGGTGGAGACAGCAATGTTGTTGATATACGTGTACTTCAGTATTACGAAGATAAAATTAGATTCAAGCTGAACTTTGAATCTGAATTTAAAGATTTACCAATCAGACCAAAGATCATACAGTTAGGCAACGTCATATTTCCCCAACTTTTCAGGCAAAGGCTACCTATTTCAAGCATCAAATACTCGCACCTGCAAGCGATTAAGCAAGTGATACCAAAAGACTGCTGGGGGTTTTATGACTCCCTTCCTCACAAATAGAATAATGGCTTTTCTTTCATTTGTTAAAAAAACAAATACTTATTTATAATATCCTAAAAGTTTTTGAATGAATTTTTAAGTTTGTTTATTTATTTTAGCATTTTATTCAGCTATAATGGATTTTCTTTTATTTGTGCAGAAAAACCAAATATTTTGTAATAGCTAGGATTAAGTTTTTTGAAGAATCTTTAAGTTTATTCAATTTGTTTTGCCATTTTGTTGAACTGGTAGTTAATAAAAATAATTATTTTTATTCCTATTTCAAATTCCTTATTTCCTCAATATTATTGCATAACCACGTAACTGACATACTTTTTACAACATTAACTGATTAACTCGTAAGTGACGGTTATTTCTGAAAATCCCTACTGAAGTTTTTTTTTTCTCACTGCATTTATTTATTATAAGTATTTTCGAATAAAAAAATATCCCAACTTCGATAATTAATTCCCATTTATATTTTAAACAGTTTTTTGGTGCTCCTGCACATTTTATGATTTGTGAGATACGAGGTCCTGCGTTTCAGCCCTCGATATGTTTGTCAGGATTCTTATGTTTTATTACAAAAACGAATTGAAAAAAAAACCAAATAGTATTCTAAAATGGATTTGTGATATATGTAACAAAGTGATACATGAAGATTGCTTACGACGGTGTGATTCATGTCTTCGGTGTGCTGTTCAGTAACAAAGCTGCCTTCTAGTGAGAAAGCCTGGTTTTGCATGCAGTGCAGAAGGAACTTAATCACACCTCATCTCACCCTATCAACCCTTAAAATAAACAAATATTTATTTTTGTTTATGCAATGTTTTGAAAGAAAAAAGGTAGGTACTTAGTTTTGTTTTTTGTACTTTTTTGTTTGAAATTGCACCAACCAAATATTTTCGAGTAAACTTGATTAGCTATTCTGCATAAAAAATATTAGCGGATCCATTTTTTCTAGTAGGTATCAATCCTAAAAAATATAAGCAAATTTTATAATATTCCTTAATTACGACAGAATTAGAAATAAACATCTATTTTCGAATTTTATTACCACTAAAGATCCGCATTTTCGGACCCCTAATATACAAATTGAAAATCCGGAAATTATCGGATCTTTAGTATGAACACTACAGATCCGAATTTTCGGACCTCTATTTACTGCCTTTTTTTTATTCCCGCCTTGCGTTCGGTATTTTGCTCGAAGAGCAGAGCGTGCTGAGTTGAGCCGTAATCACGTGACCAGCGAGCGAACAGAGCAGTTGAACGCTGTATAAGAGCAAGGAGAATAAACTTACTAACCGTGCGTTCGTTATTTTGGTCTGAGTTCTCCGAGCTTGACTTTACCGTTCGTTTATTTAAAAAGTGTACTCGGTGCAGCCTCATTCGCGTTCGTTTATTAAAATTTCCGGTACTTTTATACGGCGTTCAACTGCTCCGTTCGCTCGCTGGTCACGTGATTACGGCTCCGCTTAGCTCGCTCTACACTTTGAGCAAAATATCGAACGCAAGGTAAGGAGTGCTTATCGGCCCCTTTTTGGGTAATTGCCGCCATATTGGTTTTCAACTGTTTCCAACCACTGCCGACGTCATAACAAAGTCGCCAGCTGTTTGCGCCAGCGGTTTTATAAATTTATAATTTGTCATGAAAAATATTTTATTTTGATTTTGATTAACCATTATAGCGGGTAAAGGTACCCTATGCTATGATGGAACCAGAGGCGCGATATCTGGCTAGCTTTCGTCATTCCGCCTATATACACGTTTTCAGCATGTATGATTTAATGGAGCCCTAGGAGAATTACGCGGCGTTTTGTTTACATTTCTTTATGTAAGTATAATAACTATAAGATAATTTATTCTATACTATTTAATTGTTTTTAGGGTTTTCTCATATTATTATAACATATTCCTATTCGAGCATAAATTGTTTGTTTATGTATTATATTCTTGTAAATATTACTGTCCCATATGGCATATGGGCCTGGGCAGAAGCTAACATTTTTAGCTGTACTTACATTTTGTTTGTGGAATTAGCCATCAGGAAGCTTTGAATACTGCTTATGATAATGAAAATGTTGATGGCATAATATATCGAGCCCACACAGAAAGCAAAGAGCTCACTGACTAAGATTCAGCAGATGAGGAATGGGGTTTTGACTTATCTACTAGGCAACTTTTGTGCTAGTGCAGAAATTGTTTATTCGAATGGGAAATATATCACAGGCAGAGTAGAATTAACAATTTTTTGGGAAATCATACAATTTTAACTTTATTTTTATTTTCAGACATACCCGAGGAAATATAAAGTACCACCTTGCGCTACAGGAGAATATGCTTCGGGCTGCAGCAAGTGATTTTTGAGTCAATAATGATATAAGGTATTATGGATTGCATCATTCATCATTATTGAAACACTTTTCCTGAACGTAAAAAAAACGATGTGGTGGTCAAAACTGTAGTAGCCGAGGAAGAACAATGTGCTGCAAATGCAATATCGACTTATTTATTCACTGTTCTCGAAAGTTTCACACTGGGTAATAATTTTCACCCATAATGCTGCTCGTGATGATGCAGGCCAAAATTCATTATAATCTATTTCGTTTATCTGACCCGAAATGATTATATCTATACAACAGCCTAACCAGATCTTTTTCTTATATTTTTGTAAACTTTCTACAATAGGACATTGCCAAAAGGGTCTCAAGGCTGGTATGGATCTCCCTTATAATGACTGTATTTGAATAACTTGTATGTGTAATAAATAAATAAACATTTTATAAATAACTCGATCTTTATTTTTATTTATAAATAGGTGAAAATTAAATTAACAAAGTCAAATAACTTGACCACAAATCTGATTTTTACTCGAACTACCTATAATATAATACTGGTAATTAGGATTTAATAACCGGTGTGAAGTTAGCAGCCTTTTTGCAGCAGCCAAAAATGTGAAGTTAGCAGCCATTTGTAGCAGCCAAAATTGTGAAGTTAGCAGCCATTTTTTGGCAGCTCTTTTTTTTTTTAAAGTGGTTGATTTACAAATTTTGTGTACATTATTATTATATACCCTCGTGCAAAGTACAACAGAATAACAAAAAAAAAAACTACCCCTAATAAAACATCAAGTAGAACAATAATATCTACTAAACAACTTTTTTAAAATAAAATGTAACACCATGAAATTAAGAATAGTCTTTAACATAGCCCTCAAGTACGTCTAGTTCGGAGAACAACCCCTTATTGCCGTCAGGCTGGGATCAACCCTTATTATTAAAATAATTGGAAAAGCACATTTCGGAAAAATATAACACCATCAAACCCAGTGGGACGATCATCAGAACCATTTCTAACATTTCCACCAAAGGACAACCCCTTACCTGCCGTCGGAGTGTGTCAAAAACTACCCTAAGTACGAAAAAAATAGAAAAAAATTGGAAAAACACATTTCGGAAAACTGTAACGCTCTGAAACTTGATTGAAACGATAACTAGAACCATTTCAAACATTCCCTCCAAAGGAAATCCCCTTACCTGCCGTCGGAGTGTGTTAAAAACTACCCTTAGTACGAAAATGATAGAAAAAAATTGGAAAAACACATTTCGGGAAACTGTAACGCTCTGAAACTTGAATGTTACGATAACTAGAACCATTTCAAACATTCCCTCCAAAGGAAATCCCCTTACCTGCCGTCGGAGTGTGTTAAAAACCACCCTTAGTATGAAAATAATGGAAAAAAATTGGAAAAGCACATTTCGGAAAACTGTAACGCTCTAAAACTTGATTGGGACGATAACTAGAACCATTTCAAACATTCCCTCCAAAGGAAATCCCCTTACCTGCCGTCGGAGTGTGTTAAAAACTACCCTTATTGCGAAAATGATAGAAAAAAATTGGAAAAACACATTTCGGAAAACTGTAACGCTCTGAAACTTGATTGAGACGATAACTAGAACCATTTCAAACATTCCCTCCAAAGGAAATCTCCTTACCTGCCGTCGGAGTGTGTTAAAAACTACCCTTAGTGCGAAAATGATAGAAAAAAATTGGAAAAACACATTTCGGAAAACTGTAACGCTCTGAAACTTGATTGAGACGATAACTAGAACCATTTCAAACATTCCCTCCAAAGGAAATCCCCTTACCTGCCGTCGGAGTGTGTTAAAAACCACCCTTAGTATGAAAGTATTGGAAAAATTTGGAAAAGCACATTTCGGAAAACTGTAACGCTCTAAAACTTGATTGGGACGATAACTAGAACCATTTCAAACATTCCCTCCAAAGGAAATCCCCTTACCTGCCGTCGGAGTGTGTTAAAAACTACCCTTAGTGCGAAAATGATAGAAAAAAATTGGAAAAACACATTTCGGAAAACTGTAACGCTCTGAAACTTGATTGAGACGATAACTGGAACCATTTCAAACATTCCCTCCAAAGGAAATCCCCTTACCTGCCGTCGGAGTGTGTTAAAAACTACCCTTAGTGCGAAAATGATAGAAAAAAATTGGAAAAACACATTTCGGAAAACTGTAACGCTCTGAAACTTGATTGAGACGATAACTAGAACCATTTCAAACATTCCCTCCAAAGGAAATCCCCTTACCTGCCGTCGGAGTGTGTTAAAAACTACCCTTATTGCGAAAATGATAGAAAAAAATTGGAAAAACACATTTCGGAAAACTGTAACGCTCTGAAACTTGATTGAGACGATAACTAGAACCATTTCAAACATTCCCTCCAAAGGAAATCCCCTTACCTGCCGTCGGAGTGTGTTAAAAACTACCCTTAGTGCGAAAATGATAGAAAAAAATTGGAAAAACACATTTCGGAAAACTGTAACGCTCTGAAACTTGATTGAGACGATAACTAGAACCATTTCAAACATTCCCTCCAAAGGAAATCCCCTTACCTGCCGTCGGAGTGTGTTAAAAACCACCCTTAGTATGAAAGTAATGGAAAAATTTGGAAAAGCACATTTCGGAAAACTGTAACGCTCTGAAACTTGATTGAGACGATAACTAGAACCATTTCAAACATTCCCTCCAAAGGAAATCCCCTTACCTGCCGTCGGAGTGTGTTAAAAACCACCCTTAGTATGAAAATAATGGAAAAAAATTGGAAAAACACATTTCGGAAAACTGTAACGCTCTGAAACTTGATTGAGACGATAACTAGAACCATTCCAAACATTCCCTCCAAAGGAAATCCCCTTACCTGCCGTCGGAGTGAGTTAAAAACTACCCTTAGTGCGAAAATGATAGAAAAAAATTGGAAAAACACATTTTGGAAAACTGTAACGCTCTGAAACTTGATTGGGACGATAACTAGAACCATTTCAAACATTCCCTCCCAAGGAAATCCCCTTACCTGCCGTCGGAGTGTGTTAAAAACCACCCTTAGTATGAAAATAATGGAAAAAAATTGGAAAAGCACATTTCGGAAAACTGTAACGCTCTGAAACTTGATTGGGACGATAACTAGAACCATTTCAAACATTCCCTCCAAAGGAAATCCCCTTACCTGCCGTCGGAGTGTGTTAAAAACCACCCTTAGTATGAAAATAATGGAAAAAAATTGGAAAAGCACATTTCGGAAAACTGTAACGCTCTGAAACTTGATTGAGACGATAACTAGAACCATTTCAAACATTCCCTCCAAAGGAAATCCCCTTACCTGCCGTCGGAGTGTGTTAAAAACCACCCTTAGTATGAAAATAATGGAAAAAAATTGGAAAAGCACATTTCGGAAAACTGTAACGCTCTGAAACTTGATTGAGACGATAACTAGAACCATTTCAAACATTCCCTCCAAAGGAAATCCCCTTACCTGCCGTCGGAGTGTGTTAAAAACTACCCTTAGTGCGAAAATGTTAGAAAAAATTGGAAAAACACATTTCGGAAAACTGTAACGCTCTGAAACTTGATTGAGACGATAACTAGAACCATTTCAAACATTCCCTCCAAAGGAAATCCCCTTACCTGCCGTCGGAGTGTGTTAAAAACTACCCTTAGTGCGAAAATGTTAGAAAAAATTGGAAAAACACATTTCGGAAAACTGTAACGCTCTGAAACTTGATTGAGACGATAACTAGAACCATTTCAAACATTCCCACCAAAGGAAATCCCCTTACCTGCCGTCGGAGTGTGTTAAAAACTACCCTTAATGCGAAAATGATAGAAAAAAATTGGGAAAACACATTTCGGAAAACTGTAACGCTCTGAAACTTGATTGAGACGATAACTAGAACCATTTCAAACATTCCCTCCAAAGGAAATCCCCTTACCTGCCGTCGGAGTGTGTTAAAAACTACCCTTAGTGCGAAAATGATAGAAAAAAATTGGGAAAACACATTTCGGAAAACTGTAACGCTCTGAAACTTGATTGAGACGATAACTGGAACCATTTCAAACATTCTCTCCAAAGGAAATCCCCTTACCTGAGGTCGGAGTGTGTTAAAAACTACCCTTAGTGCGAAAATGATAGAAAAAAATTGGAAAAACACATTTTGGAAAACTGTAACGCTCTGAAACTTGATTGAGACGATAACTAGAACCATTTCAAACATTCCCTCCAAAGGAAATCCCCTTACCTGCCGTCGGAGTGTGTTAAAAACTACCCTTAGTGCGAAAATGTTAGAAAAAATTGGAAAAACACATTTCGGAAAACTGTAACGCTCTGAAACTTGATTGAGACGATAACTAGAACCATTTCAAACATTCCCACCAAAGGAAATCCCCTTACCTGCCGTCGGAGTGTGTTAAAAACTACCCTTAGTGCGAAAATGATAGAAAAAAATTGGAAAAACACATTTCGGAAAACTGTAACGCTCTGAAACTTGATTGGGACGATAACTAGAACCATTTCAAACATTCCCTCCAAAGGAAATCCCCTTACCTGCCGTCGGAGTGTGTTAAAAACCACCCTTAGTATGAAAATAATGGAAAAAAATTGGAAAAGCACATTTCGGAAAACTGTAACGCTCTAAAACTTGATTGGGACGATAACTAGAACCATTTCAAACATTCCCTCCAAAGGAAATCCCCTTACCTGCCGTCGGAGTGTGTTAAAAACTACCCTTATTGCGAAAATGATAGAAAAAAATTGGAAAAACACATTTCGGAAAACTGTAACGCTCTGAAACTTGATTGAGACGATAACTAGAACCATTTCAAACATTCCCTCCAAAGGAAATCCCCTTACCTGCCGTCGGAGTGTGTTAAAAACTACCCTTAGTGCGAAAATGATAGAAAAAAATTGGAAAAACACATTTCGGAAAACTGTAACGCTCTGAAACTTGATTGAGACGATAACTGGAACCATTTCAAACATTCCCTCCAAAGGAAATCCCCTTACCTGCCGTCGGAGTGTGTTAAAAACTACCCTTAGTGCGAAAATGATAGAAAAAAATTGGAAAAACACATTTCGGAAAACTGTAACGCTCTGAAACTTGATTGAGACGATAACTAGAACCATTTCAAACATTCCCTCCAAAGGAAATCCCCTTACCTGCCGTCGGAGTGTGTTAAAAACCACCCTTAGTATGAAAATAATGGAAAAAAATTGGAAAAGCACATTTCGGAAAACTGTAACGCTCTAAAACTTGATTGGGACGATAACTAGAACCATTTCAAACATTCCCTCCAAAGGAAATCCCCTTACCTGCCGTCGGAGTGTGTTAAAAACTACCCTTAGTGCGAAAATGATAGAAAAAAATTGGAAAAACACATTTCGGAAAACTGTAACGCTCTGAAACTTGATTGAGACGATAACTGGAACCATTTCAAACATTCCCTCCAAAGGAAATCCCCTTACCTGCCGTCGGAGTGTGTTAAAAACCACCCTTAGTATGAAAGTAATGGAAAAATTTGGAAAAGCACATTTCGGAAAACTGTAACGCTCTAAAACTTGATTGGGACGATAACTAGAACCATTTCAAACATTCCCTCCAAAGGAAATCCCCTTACCTGCCGTCGGAGTGTGTTAAAAACTACCCTTAGTGCGAAAATGATAGAAAAAAATTGGAAAAACACATTTCGGAAAACTGTAACGCTCTGAAACTTGATTGAGACGATAACTGGAACCATTTCAAACATTCCCTCCAAAGGAAATCCCCTTACCTGCCGTCGGAGTTTGTTAAAAACTACCCTTAGTGCGAAAATGATAGAAAAAAATTGGAAAAACACATTTCGGAAAACTGTAACGCTCTGAAACTTGATTGAGACGATAACTAGAACCATTTCAAACATTCCCTCCAAAGGAAATCCCCTTACCTGCCGTCGGAGTGTGTTAAAAACCACCCTTAGTATGAAAGTAATGGAAAAATTTGGAAAAGCACATTTCGGAAAACTGTAACGCTCTAAAACTTGATTGGGACGATAACTAGAACCATTTCAAACATTCCCTCCAAAGGAAATCCCCTTACCTGCCGTCGGAGTGTGTTAAAAACCACCCTTAGTATGAAAATGATAGAAAAAAATTGGAAAAACACATTTCGGAAAACTGTAACGCTCTAAAACTTGATTGGGACGATAACTAAAACCATTTCAAACATTCCCTCCAAAGGAAACCCCCTTACCTGCCGTCGGAGTGTGTTAAAAACTAGCCTTTGTATGAAAAAAAAATTAAGTGAGTGAGAAAAAGTGCTTTTTCTACTGACGTTTCATAATAGCAACTTTTCGATTGTCATTTTAGTTTTAAAACGATATTCTTTTAAGCACTGAGTGCGTAAAAGTTACTTTTAGGCACTCAGTGCGTAAAAGTGACATTTGAATGCGTAAAAGTGACTTTTGAGTGCGTAAATAGCTATTTATACAATAAGTTACGAAATGAGCGTCTTTTAGGCACGCGACGTGAAAATTGTCCAACGAGGCAAAGCCGAGTTGGACAACACGTTGAGTGACTAAAAGACATCGTTTCGAAACGTATTGTATACAAGATTTTTTCTACTGGCATTTTATAATAAAAAAACACAATTTTATTTCATGTGAATAAGTCGATTACACCCAAAATCTTTGTTACCTGCTTTTACTTGACACCTGACACTTTTCATGCGATTTTCTTTTCAAAATTCGACATCAATAATTAAAATCCTAGAAAGTAGGTAATAACACAAACTTCTGTTTTGAGTAACCCAAACGTTCAATTCAGTAATTCCATTTTCAATATTCATAATAAATACAAAACAAAATTCAAATATGTGTTTAGTGTGTTTTTTATTTCTGAATAATGAATGATACTTTTAGGCACTAGTGCTTAAAAATTACTTTTACGCACTCATAAGTCACTTTTACGCATTCAAAAGTCACTTTTACGCACTGAGTGCCTAAAAGTAACTTTCACGCACTCAGTGCCTAAAAGAATGTCGTTTCAAAACTGAAATGACAATCGAAAAGTTGCTATTATGAAACGTCAGTAGAAAAAGTAATTTTTAAGCACTAGTGCCTAAAAGTGTCATTCATTCTTCAGAAATAAAAACCACACTAAACATAGATTTGAATTTTGTTTTGTATTTATTATGAATATTAAAAATGTAATTATTGAATTGAACGTTTGGGTTAGTCAAAACAGAACTTTGTGTTGTTACCTACTTTTTAGGATTTTAATTATTAATGTCGAATCTTGAAAAAAAAATCGCATGAAAAGTGTCAGGTGTCAAGTAAAAGCAGGTAACAAAGATTTTGGGCGTAATCGACTTATTCACATGAAATAAAATTGTGTTTTTTTACTATAAAATGCCAGTAGAAAAAATCTTGTATACAATACGTTACGAAACGATGTCTTTTAGTCACTCGACGTGTTGTCCAACTCGGCTTTGCCTCGTTGGACAATTTTCACGTCGCGTGCCTAAAAGACGCTCATTTCGTAACTTATTGTATAAATAGCTATTTACGCACTCAAAAGTCACTTTTACGCATTCAAATGTCACTTTTACGCACTGAGTGCCTAAAAGTAACTTTTACGCACTCAGTGCTTAAAAGAATATCGTTTTAAAACTAAAATGACAATCGAAAAGTTGCTATTATGAAACGTCAGTAGAAAAAGCACTTTTTCTCACTCACTTAATTTTTTTTTCATACAAAGGCTAGTTTTTAACACACTCCGACGGCAGGTAAGGGGGTTTCCTTTGGAGGGAATGTTTGAAATGGTTTTAGTTATCGTCCCAATCAAGTTTTAGAGCGTTACAGTTTTCCGAAATGTGTTTTTCCAATTTTTTTCTATCATTTTCGTACTAAGGGTAGTTTTTAACACACTCCGACGGCAGGTAAGGGGATTTCCTTTGAAGGGAATGTTTGAAATGGTTCTAGTTATCGTCCTAATCAAGTTTTAGAGCGTTACAGTTTTCCGAAATGTGCTTTCCCAATTTTTTTCCATTATTTTCGCACTTAGGGTAGTTTTTAACACACTCCGACGGCAGGTAAGGGGATTTCCTTTGGAGGGAATGTTTGAAATGGTTCCAGTTATCGTCTCAATCAAGTTTCAGAGCGTTACAGTTTTCCGAAATGTGTTTTTCCAATTTTTTTCCATTATTTTCATACTAAGGGTGGTTTTTAACACACTCCGACGGCAGGTAAGGGGATTTCCTTTGGAGGGAATGTTTGAAATGGTTCTAGTTATCGTCCCAATCAAGTTTCAGAGCGTTACAGTTTTCCGAAATGTGTTTTTCCAATTTTTTTCTATCATTTTCGTACTAAGGGTAGTTTTTAACACACTCCGACGGCAGGTAAGGGGATTTCCTTTGAAGGGAATGTTTGAAATGGTTCTAGTTATCGTCCTAATCAAGTTTTAGAGCGTTACAGTTTTCCGAAATGTGCTTTCCCAATTTTTTTCCATTATTTTCGCACTTAGGGTAGTTTTTAACACACTCCGACGGCAGGTAAGGGGATTTCCTTTGGAGGGAATGTTTGAAATGGTTCCAGTTATCGTCTCAATCAAGTTTCAGAGCGTTACAGTTTTCCGAAATGTGTTTTTCCAATTTTTTTCCATTATTTTCGTACTAAGGGTAGTTTTTAACACACTCCGACGGCAGGTAAGGGGATTTTCTTTGAAGGGAATGTTTGAAATGGTTCTAGTTATCGTCCTAATCAAGTTTTAGAGCGTTACAGTTTTCCGAAATGTGCTTTCCCAATTTTTTTCCATTATTTTCGCACTTAGGGTAGTTTTTAACACACTCCGACGGCAGGTAAGGGGTTTTCCTCTGGGGGAATGTTTAAAATGGTTCTAGTTATCGTCTTAATCAAGTTTCAGAGCGTTACAGTTTTCCGAAATGTGTTTTCCCAATTTTTTTCTATCATTTTCGCATTAAGGGTAGTTTTTAACACACTCCGACGGCAGGTAAGGGGATTTCCTTTGGTGGGAATGTTTGAAATGGTTCTAGTTATCGTCTCAATCAAGTTTCAGAGCGTTACAGTTTTCCGAAATGTGTTTTTCCAATTTTTTCTAACATTTTCGCACTAAGGGTAGTTTTTAACATACTCCGACGGCAGGTAAGGGGATTTCCTTCGGAGGGAATGTTTGAAATGGTTCTAGTTATCGTCTCAATCAAGTTTCAGAGCGTTACAGTTTTCCGAAATGTGTTTTTCCAATTTTTTCTAACATTTTCGCACTAAGGGTAGTTTTTAACACACTCCGACGGCAGGTAAGGGGATTTCCTTTGGAGGGAATGTTTGAAATGGTTCTAGTTATCGTCTCAATCAAGTTTCAGAGCGTTACAGTTTTCCGAAATGTGTTTTTCCAATTTTTTTCTATCATTTTCGCACTAAGGGTAGTTTTTAACACACTCCGACGGCAGGTAAGGGGATTTCCTTTGGAGGGAATGTTTGAAATGGTTCTAGTTATCGTCTCAATCAAGTTTCAGAGCGTTACAGTTTTCCGAAATGTGTTTTTCCAATTTTTTTCTAACATTTTCGCACTAAGGGTAGTTTTTAACACACTCCGACGGCAGGTAAGGGGATTTCCTTTGGAGGGAATGTTTGAAATGGTTCTAGTTATCGTCCCAATCAAGTTTCAGAGCGTTACAGTTTTCCAAAATGTATTTTTCCAATTTTTTTCTATCATTTTCGCACTAAGGGTAGTTTTTAACACACTCCGACGGCAGGTAAGGGGATTTCCTTTGGAGGGAATGTTTGAAATGGTTCTAGTTATCGTCTCAATCAAGTTTCAGAGCGTTACAGTTTTCCGAAATGTGTTTTTCCAATTTTTTTCCATTATTTTCATACTAAGGGTGGTTTTTAACACACTCCGACGGCAGGTAAGGGGATTTCCTTTGGAGGGAATGTTTGAAATGGTTCTAGTTATCGTCTCAATCAAGTTTCAGAGCGTTACAGTTTTCCGAAATGTGCTTTTCCAATTTTTTTCCATTATTTTCATACTAAGGGTGGTTTTTAACACACTCCGACGGCAGGTAAGGGGATTTCCTTGGGAGGGAATGTTTGAAATGGTTCTAGTTATCGTCCCAATCAAGTTTCAGAGCGTTACAGTTTTCCAAAATGTGTTTTTCCAATTTTTTTCTATCATTTTCGCACTAAGGGTAGTTTTTAACTCACTTCGACGGCAGGTAAGGGGATTTCCTTTGGAGGGAATGTTTGGAATCGTTCTAGTTATCGTCTCAATCAAGTTTCAGAGCGTTACAGTTTTCCGAAATGTGTTTTTCCAATTTTTTTCCATTATTTTCATACTAAGGGTGGTTTTTAACACACTCCGACGGCAGGTAAGGGGATTTCCTTTGGAGGGAATGTTTGAAATGGTTCTAGTTATCGTCTCAATCAAGTTTCAGAGCGTTACAGTTTTCCGAAATGTGTTTTTCCAATTTTTTTCCATTATTTTCATACTAAGGGTGGTTTTTAACACACTCCGACGGCAGGTAAGGGGATTTCCTTTGGAGGGAATGTTTGAAATGGTTCTAGTTATCGTGTCAATCAAGTTTCAGAGCGTTACAGTTTTCCGAAATGTGTTTTTCCAATTTTTTTCTATCATTTTCGCACTAAGGGTAGTTTTTAACACACTCCGACGGCAGGTAAGGGGATTTCCTTTGGAGGGAATGTTTGAAATGGTTCTAGTTATCGTCTCAATCAAGTTTCAGAGCGTTACAGTTTTCCGAAATGTGTTTTTCCAATTTTTTTCTATCATTTTCGCACTAAGGGTAGTTTTTAACACACTCTGACGGCAGGTAAGGGGATTTCCTTTGGAGGGAATGTTTGAAATGGTTCTAGTTATCGTCTCAATCAAGTTTCAGAGCGTTACAGTTTTCCGAAATGTGTTTTTCCAATTTTTTTTTATCATTTTCGCACTAAGGGTAGTTTTTAACACACTCCGACGGCAGGTAAGGGGATTTCCTTTGGAGGGAATGTTTGAAATGGTTCTAGTTATCGTTTCAATCAAGTTTCAGAGCGTTACAGTTTTCCGAAATGTGTTTTTTCCAATTTTTTTCTATTTTTTTCGTACTTAGGGTAGTTTTTGACACACTCCGACGGCAGATAAGGGGTTGTCCTTTGGTGGAAATGTTAGAAATGGTTCTGATGATCGTCCCACTGGGTTTGATGGTGTTATATTTTTCCGAAATGTGCTTTTCCAATTATTTTAATAATAAGGGTTGATCCCAGCCTGACGGCAATAAGGGGTTGTTCTCCGAACTAGACGTACTTGAGGGCTATGTTAAAGACTATTCTTAATTTCATGGTGTTACATTTTATTTTAAAAAAGTTGTTTAGTAGATATTATTGTTCTACTTGATGTTTTATTAGGGGTAGTTTTTTTTTTGTTATTCTGTTGTACTTTGCACGAGGGTATATAATAATAATGTACACAAAATTTGTAAATCAACCACTTTAAAAAAAAAAAAGAGCTGCCAAAAAATGGCTGCTAACTTCACAATTTTGGCTGCTAACTTCACATTTTTGGCTGCTGCAAAAAGGCTGCTAACTTCACACCGGTATTTAATAAACACTTTACACGTTCTGCTGTTTGCTCGGCCATTTGTATGCCTGTCTGAGAAGAGTTTAATAATTGATTAAAAGTATAACTACATTCATTACTTGTATCAGTATCACTAGAATCTTGATTTCTTTTTCTTTTGGCAAGTTTTTCAGCACCCATGGAATCTATTTTTTGGCTCGGTTTATGGATCACTATAGAAGAGGGCAAATTCTGGGATGGTACAACTGTTTTTTTCAATATCCGACCTCTACCTGTACCTCTAAGGGTGGGTATTATAAAACTACTTTGAGAGTTAACTTAAAGTTAACTTCTGGAATTACATGTAATTCAAAAAGTTAACTTTAAGTTAACTGTCAAAGCAGTTTTATAATACCCGCCCTAAGACCTGTACTCTCACCTGTAAATAATAAAAACAGTCAATATTTTCAAACAAAACATTTTAAAAATAGATAGTACTTGATAAATGCCTAGAAGCAGGCCTAAAATGAAGCTAGGGCACAAAACTATCCATTATGCTTGTTTACCTTAACACAAAATTCTTGCTTAATTGAGATGCAGAGAATACACTTTCATGAATTTGGTGACTGGTTTGCCAATACGAAGTTTTAAAATCCAGAAGGCTTTTCTTCTCGACACTTCTTTTTCCATTTTCGTTTCCAAATAAACCCGTGGGCCTGTTTCAAGGGGAAATATGTAGAAACTCAATCCTTTGTCAGCTTTTTTTTTTAGCCCAAGACTTGCATTGAGGAACACAACAGTAATGATTAAAAGTCATGATTATATGTATCTGATATAATTTTATAATTTTAGACTTTAATTATACTAGAAACTAGTTCCATAATTTCCAGCCAGCAGCCAGATCATAACATAACCTGTGGTGCAAACAGCCTACGTCAAGACGAAAAATGCCATGATGTTTACGTCACAACTGATTTTTTGGCTAGGCGGGGTAGGGGGGGATTTGTTACACACAGGCCTTATGAGGATAAGCCATCCTTAGTAGTGTGTATCATCCTTGGTATAAGAGTGCCAGAAATTTCAATAAACGAACGCGAATGAGCCTGCACTGACTTCACTTTTCAAATAAATGAATGGTAAATAGACCTATCTATTTTTACCTGGTATGCGCGCGCAACACGAGGCAATGGCTTTTTATTGGCTAGCTAATACAGGTGTGAGGTGATCGTTTTGCACGCTGGACATCTCTTTATCCTTGTTCATTGCACGTGATCTGACAAGACTAAATCTAAAGTTGATATTCAACTTGACAAGTGTCATTCAAAAGTTGTTTGACATTTTCATTGACAAATACGTTGCACAACACGCGGGCAAATAAGAAGGACGGATTGCTATACGTAAGTCTAATTTGGTACGTTTTGCCTCGTCTTGCGCAATGAGCGTTGTGTGTCTTTTTTTATTTAATGAAGTTTTCGTATTATTACCTCTTTGTCTGGTAAAATAGATAGGTCTATTCAAGCTCGGAGAACTCAGATCAAATTACCGAACGCACGGCCGGTCACTTGTGTCTGATTGAAGCAGCAAAAGATCTAGTTTTCGAGGTAAAACTTTGGCGGTTTTCTCAATACAGTTCAAACCGGTTTGAAAGAAAACATAACATTGAACGCTTAGAGCTGCTCCAAGCAGATATCGAGTTCTATTTTTAAAACAGGGGAGGAAAGTCAAGGCCTCGCGGAATCATAACCTGTGATGCAAACAGCCTACGTCAAAGCGAGAAACTTAGCGAGAAAGGACATGTTTCTACGTCACAATTGGTGAGTTGGCGTGGTGGGGGCCTTCAGATTTGTTCCACACAGGCCTTATGAGGATAGGCTATCCTGTAATCACTCAAGATGACGTGGCGGCCACACATGGGCCAAAAAACACAATAAATATCTAATTTAAGCAAAATAATTTAAAATACGCATAAAAACATATTCAAAACATACTTGCTTGGTTGCCACGCCATATTGAATTTTCCTCTTTGACAGATTGATTGGTTTGCCTAAATTCACTGGATGAACGCGCTCCGTAGAAGTAAAAATTAGGTTATGTTTCTGTTTATGTTTACATTGTTTACACTGCTTATTTTATTATTTGTTAAATTTTAATTTTCATGTGGATTCTGGAGAATTTGAGTTTGTCGTTCATTTATTAAAAAACCAGTTTCTTTTTTCCATATATGTACAAATTGTTGGGACCTATTATTGCTTTTGTCATAAAAATTTAAGGTAAGATTTATTTTTTTCCGTTTTCTTCAGGCCATAAACGAATACTGTCTATTTTATATTTCATGAATGCTGATCTCATCTCATGCACTTTTAGCCTTTTAGTTAGTGTGCGTGTGTGTGTGGGCTTATCACAATATTTCAATAACAGCTTTTATAATTCATTTTAATTTAAAAATCTGTTTACTTATAGTCCAGGAGCTGGCGTCGAAAATATGCAAGAGTTTTCGCAAGGCTCATATTTTCAGAATGAGTAGTATTTTAGTGCTACAAAGCTAGGCTACAGTCAGCAGTTCCAGTTCCGGGACACCTGGCGCTGAGATGCGCGCAAAGGTGTATTTTTAATCAACACCTCGCAACAGTTTTCGCAAAGCTGAAAATTTGCAAAGAGCATGCGAATATAATGTAGAACCATAATTTAACAGTCAGACAAAGAAATACGGGGACACGTAGAGTCAGCGCGACTTTGAAGTGGTCAAAAAAATGACGTCACCGAAAGTGTTTTCGCATGGCTGAAATTTGGCAAGGTAATAGTAAAAACAATATATTTATTGAAAAAAACAGTCAGACACTTCTATGTCGGGACCCCGCCAGTCAGCAGTCGATTAAAGTGATATAGGTGGTAGCGCGCGTCAATAGGCATATAACCATGTCGAATAATAATTTCACCAAAAGTGTTTTCGCATAGCTGAAATTTGGCAAGGTAATAGTAAAAACAATATATTTATTGAAAAAAACAGTCAGACACTTCTATGTCGGGACCCCGCCAGTCAGCAGTCGATTAGAGTGATATAGGTGGTAGCGCGCGTCAATAGGCATATATCCATGTCGAATAATAATTTCACCAAAAGTGTTTTCGCATAGCTGAAATTTGGCAAGGTAATAGTAAAACAATATATTTATTGAAAAAAACAGTCAGACACTTCTATGTCGGGACCCCGCCAGTCAGCAGTCGATTAGAGTGATATAGGTGGTAGCGCGCGTCAATAGGCATATATCCATGTCAAATAATAATTTCACCAAAAGTGTTTTCGCATAGCTGAAATTTGGCAAGGTAATAGTAAAAACAATATATTTATTGAAAAAAACAGTCAGACACTTCTATGTCGGGACCCCGCCAGTCAGCAGTCGATTAGAGTGATATAGGTGGTAGTGCGCGTCAATAGGCATATATCCATGTCGAATAATAATTTCACCAAAAGTGTTTTCGCATAGCTGAAATTTGGCAAGGTAATAGTAAAAACAATATATTTATTGAAGAAAACAGTCAGACACTTCTATGTTGGGACTCCCTCAGTCAGCAGTCGATTAAAGTGATATAGGTGGTAGCGCGCGTCAATAGAATTTTACTCTATATATATCCATTTCGATGAATAATTTTATTTCTATAATTTAAATTATTTGGAATCGGAAACGGTAAAATACATTTTTTTTCTCTTAATGAGTAAGTGTAAACCTGTAAGTTGCAAGCGTAAGCGCGTATACTTGAATAAGGCGTATATGCATTCGAATTCGGAAACTTCATTATGGTACTGTTAGGTCGAGATTAGGGGAAGGGAAGCGGCAGATGTGATTAGAATTTTTTTTTTTTGTATTTTATAAAATCGGCGACGATTATAAGTATTTAATGAAACTTACTATAGGTATACTATCACAGTACTGCTGATTAAATGGTCAAGTAATATTTATACGAATCGGGCTTTTTTCTAACCGCAAACTTTTTAACTGCATGTACAATTTTATTTTACCGTTTCCGATTCCAAATAATTTAAATTATAAAAATAAAATTATTCATCGAAATGGATATTATATATAGAGTAAAATTCTATTCTATTCTATTCATTTTAATCGACTGCTGACTGAGGGAGTCCCGACATAGGAGTGTCTGACTGTTTTTTTCAATAAATATATTGTTTTTACTATTACCTTGCCAAATTTCAGCTATGCGAAAACACTTTTGGTGAAATTATTATTCGACATGGATATATGCCTATTGACGCGCGCTACCACCTATATCACTCTAATCGACTGCTGACTGGCGGGGTCTCGACATAGAAGTGTCTGACTGTTTTTTTCAATAAATATATTGTTTTTACTATTACCTTGCCAAATTTCAGCTATGCGAAAACGCTTTTGGTGAAATTATTATTCGACATGGATATATGCCTATTGACGCGCGCTACCACCTATATCACTCTAATCGACTGCTGACTGGCGGGGTCTCGACATAGAAGTGTCTGACTGTTTTTTTCAATAAATATATTGTTTTTACTATTACCTTGCCAAATTTCAGCTATGCGAAAACGCTTTTGGTGAAATTATTTTTCGACATGGATATATGCCTATTGACGCGCGCTACCACCTATATCACTCTAATCGACTGCTGACTGGCGGGGTTCCGACATAGAAGTGTCTGACTGTTTTTTTCAATAAATATATTGTTTTTACTATTACCTTGCCAAATTTCAGCTATGCGAAACCACTTTTGGTGAAATTATTATTCGACATGCATATATGCCTATTGACGCGCGCTACCACCTATATCACTCTAATCGACTGCTGACTGGCGGGGTCCCGACATAGAAGTGTCTGACTGTTTTTTTCAATAAATATATTGTTTTTACTATTACCTTGCCAAATTTCAGCCATGCGAAAACACTTTCGGTGACATCATTTTTTTGACCACTTCAAAGTCGCGCTGACTCTACGTGTCCCCGTATTTCTTTGTCTGACTGTTAAATTATGGTTCTACATTATATTCGCATGCTCTTTGCTAATTTTCAGCTTTGCGAAAACTGTTGCGAGGTGTTGATTAAAAATACACCTTTGCACGCATCTCAGCGCCAGGTGTCCCGGAACTGGAACTGCTGACTGTAGCCTAGCTTTGTAGTACTAAAATGCTACTCATTCTGAAAATATGAGCCTTGCGAAAACTCTTGCATATTTTCGACGCCAGCTCCCCGACTATTAATTTCATTTGAAATATTGAAGGAAATCATATTATGAGTTTATGAGCTCCATGGAGTTCATAGACTGTATTTAAATTTCTGTTGTATTGAATATTCAACTCATTTATCTAATATCAAACAAAGGTAAGTTATTCTGAGTACTTTTTACTTTTTGCAGACTGCCCTTGTATGTTTTCCACACCACACCAATTTTTTTGTACACAGTATTCCAAGAACAGCTGTGCCCTATTCTTTTAAATGGCACCCCCACCCCCTATATATTATGACATTTCTGGATTCTTATGTATTTATTTATTTATTTATTTATTCATTTATTTATTTATTTATCAACTGCAATGCCATTATTTGAAAATGATAAAATTATAATTCAAACTTAATCTAACATGCTCATGCAAGAAGTGAAAAGAAAGGATAACAATAATATTCCAAAGTACATAAGTGTATGTAAGTAAACTATTCTTATAAAAAGTTAAAAAAAATTAAGAATTGAGAGTTAAGCTAGGCTACACTGTTAACAGATGAGTTACAATCTAGCAAGGTTTAACTGTGACAGGTGCACTCGAAAAGGTTGAAGTAGACAGGAAAGATCAAGGAATAGGTGTTGGTTTGCAAGAAACACGGATCCGGAAATCTGGAGACAAAGGAATTTTGACCATAGTTGGTGCCGTGATTTAGTTGATAGAAGGTTGGGATATTTCTTGTATTGAAAGTTGGTCATATAAGCCTCAATATAAGCCGATGCTGGAATTGAGATAGGCACTGTCAACAAGGGAGTTGAGAATTTTAAAAAGAAGGTGTAGGTCATGAATAATTCTTCTCTCTTGAAGTGATGACATATTTAGCCTTTGACACATTTCTTTGTAGGTATATTCAGTGTCTCTAAAGAATTTGAAATGAATATGATGCATATTCATCATTTGGGTACTTTTATGCATGGTTTGGTTGGTTACTAATTCTAAGT